AAAATGTGTAATAGCTATAACAGCATCATCTGTACTTCTATTGCTCCTGTATGCACATTGAAATGGGTCTGATAGACCACTAACCTCTGTTTTTACAAAATTAATCATAATTTTCTCAAAACACTTCATTACTATTGAAGTGAGTGCTACTGGACGATAATCATTATTCTCCTTACAGCTAACCTTTTTTTGGGACGGGGTACAAACAAAAAAATCAAGTGCAAATACAAATACAAAAATAAGATGGTTCTTAATAATCACCCTTTATTAAATGTATGAACACAGAAACCCCCTGTTAAAAGGTTAATGTCACATTTCCCATTCCATGACTAGTAAAATAATCGCAATGTATTCTCTGTAAAATTGCGTAATCCGCAGGGTGATGGAAAAAGTTTGGTGGCTACACATTCTGCAGCGCCACGTCGCGTGTAGGACAACTCGAGGTATCGCACACCGGACGCGCACTTTATCAGTTTTTGGCCAGCAGTATTCTTATGTTTAAGGAGATTATTAAATTAAGATAATGTCTGTACTATGTTATGATTGTACTGTACAATTAAATACAATAGTTGCTGAGTCTGTGATCTGAACACTTTCCCTCAGAGCATCCATTAAATGAATCAATTGAGAATATCATATTTTCATTCAAGCAGCTGATTTCTGTAAATTAATGTAAAACTAAATGTACATTGCAGCACAGGGTGAAGTCATTTACAATGATTTGAGACAAATATAATGTAAATTTAATATAAAAAAATGTAAATGGCGCTCTGTGTCGCGGCAGGATTTTGAACAAGAGCCGTTGCTGGGTGCCGCGGACAGACGCCGAATGGCACAACCGGTGTGTGTACACTCGAAGAGAAAATGTGTTTGAATTTTAGAGACGTGGCGCTGCGCTTCTCGTCCGGTGTGCGACCCCCTTTAAAGTGCTGTTTTCTTTTGAGCCGAAGAACTCCCATTCAGGCAAGCTTACTTTTTTCGGGTGTGGACAGTGTTTCACTCTCTCGCTCAGACGACATTCTTCTCAGAGTAGCTGCGCGGCCCGGGCTGGGTCTTCTTGTTTTATAGGTGTCAGCGGGTGCAATACAGCACCTGAGAGGTCAACCAGGTACTCGCGCTGGAGTATTTACGTGTCATGTTATCATAACAGTCCTATTCATTTTAAACATTCTGGTTATCGCCAATACCGGTATATTGCCACACTCTAAATTAACACGATGTCGATATTTCATGCTTTGAATATCACGATTATCGTCAACACCGGTATATTGCGACACCCCTAGCGTGTCTATAGATTTCTGATAAATGGGGCACCAGGCTTCTGCCAGCTCTCTACAGCAAGATTTCAGTATCCGCCCAGAAATGCCGTCTGGCCCAGAAGCCTTGTTAGGACAGACATGTGAAAACAGTCTCTCCACCATATGCTGGTCAATTATTGTTTTAGGATAATCCAATAAAGACAAGGCATCCAGTGCAGTTTCCTGCTCCTGTGAGAAGTTTCTTACGTCAAACCTACAATAAAAATTGTTCAACTCATTTGCCTTTGCCTCCTCATCTATCACATTGATAGATCTTTTGGCTGGAGCCATATTTGTCATATATTTCATAGAGTCCCATAGTTTTTTAATGTTCATAGTCGAACAATGAGCCTCAAATTTCTCCCTCTCCTTCCTCCTAGCTGTCCTTAGTTTATAATTCGATTCCTTCTGTGCACCTTTCATAGCTACAAGGTCTCCTTTCCTAAAAGCCACTTTTTTTCCGTACTATGCACTCTTTAATTTCCTTGGAGATATAAGATTTGTTGTTTGGATACATAGTTATTATTTTTTGGTCTTACACATTGTCTTTACAGAAATGTATATAATCTGTCATAGTCTCTACAGCCTCCTCCAAGTCCAAACTTTGAAAGAGGTTCCAGTCGGTACAGGAGAAGCATCCTTTTAAGGTTTCAATACCATCACTATTCCACACATAAACAGTTTTAGTTTGTGGTTTACTGCTTTTAAGCAGGGACTTATACAAAGGAATTAAATGGACAGCATTATGATCAGAGGAGCCTAGTGGTGATTTAACCTTAGCTGTATAGGCATTCTTAATAGAAAGTGACCCGTGCCAACAGATAAAAGAGAAAGTGAGAACTGATTCAATCCTAGTCCTGGTTTACAAGAGTTTGAACGCAAGGAAGCTGTACAAACATGGTTCAGTCAGGGTAAGAGGTGTAGGAGGCCAAATGACCAGCGCTGGCCTTCTGAGCCTCCTCGTGGACCACAGGACGATCTTCTCTAAGAGGGAGTGAGTAAAGGCACACGTTGTTGTCGTTATTGGCCAGTGCCCCTAATGTTTACATCCGTCAAGTATCGTTTGTAACGGAAATGACCGAAAGGTTACTAAGCACTTTTTTTTCTGAATGTATCTATGGTATATTTTTATATATTTGCACTGCCATGACAGCAATGGTGCTGTCGATTTACCTTGTTGTTGCATCTATAAAAGTGTGCTGTTTCAAATTCACATTTTATAGTGCATTGTCATTTCTGCATCTAATATCAAAGTTTTTATTAATAATACAGTGGAAATTAGTAGACATGTGAATATTTGGTTAGCATGTTGATTTACAGTGTGTGCCCCTAAGTTTTCTGGTTGTGCCCCTAAAGTTTTCAGTTGGGGGCCACTGTGTATGGAGGACCAACTCTACCATATTTAAAAATAAATACAGAAATAAATAAATGCTCAATAAATAAATAAGCATACAATTAATTGCCCCAAAAAATACAATATACAAATAAATGTAGGTAGAAATTAAATTATACAGTGAGACATAAATGTATATATCTCTTTTAATTAGCTTATTTATTTATTCACCTTTGTAATAATTACCTTATTTATTTATTGTCCGTTATAATCTTCAACTTTATTTATTAATTACTTATTTTTTTAAGTATTTATTTATGTGCATGTTATAATATTTTTGTCCGTTTTATTCTTCTTTTGTATTTTTTTACCCTATTTATTTCTTCAATGCTATTTATTTCTGCCTGTCGTTTTTACATTTCTGTATGCATTTCTGCCTCATTATGCAAATGAGGAGGGGCTGTGTCTTAAGGGGTCAACTTCTGCCCATTGGTTGGTTAGCATTTTACTGCATCGGTCGAATCTACATGCCACCGGCCACAGTCACAACAAAGATGGCTACCTACGATGAAGTTGTCAGTGAGCTGAGGCATTTAGCAACTGTTTTTGAAAACAATGTTATAAGTATTGATTTTATTATTTTTCGTTTGGATGCTCTGACAGAACGTGTGTTTCAGTTAGCGGCACTCATGGACACAGATGTCGTCGACAATGTAGTTTTTCAGAATCTGGAGGAAGCGGCCCATCTTCTTAACTCGGTCGCTAACGTGAATCACACACCTGGGATAGCTGGTCGCCCTGCTTATATGCTGCCTGTGGACGCCGTGGAAGGACTTTTACGTGCGGGTTTGCCTGTTGGTGCCATTGCAAGGCTTTTTGGAGTCAGCGAAACAACAGTTCGTCGTCGGATGGCAGAGAATGACATAAGGTGAGTGTACCATTACATGTGATGCCAATAGAACCAGTGTGTGTAACGTCACCAAATCACAAGAATGCACAGGAGAAAGACAAACCCGATCCTTGTGTTAATTTACAAAGTTATGGAACTAAACAAGAATGCATAGAAAGTAACGTTAAGTTGCACACACAGTGACTTAAGACTCCACTTTAGACTCCTCAAAAGACTTCAGACTCGACTCGGACTCGAGGTGCGGGACTCGTGAACAATGTTTATTTTTAGGAAGCGTTTGATGAGCTTCCTCCGTTACCTATAACCTGTCTACGTAACACGTAGTATCTGCTGCGCGCGGCTGCACGTGAGTGAGAGTTGACAACAAACACCGGTGTTGTGCCGAATTCCGACTCCCTGCCAGAATCTGACTCCCCTCGCGAGCACGCGCATGACGTCAAATTCGTGCCGCCAGCTCCGAAACAGACAGGCATCAGACGACGTAAGAAATTACATGATGGCAATTTGTCTGTAGATCTTTGATCATGTATTCATCAGTTATTTGTCTTTGATCATGTTATTTGACCATACTCGTATGATTTACAACTTGAACTGTCTAGCTGAGATTTGTTGCTTGAATTGTGTTTTTACAGTATTATAAAACAGTGTTTTTGAAACACTACAGTGTTTTTGTAGTAAAACAAGGGTTTAGTTTCGTAAGGGTAGCCTACACCTAAACATGAACATGATTACTAAAGGGATGCAGACAAATTTGTCATTTGACTTTACTGCCTACATTATCTTTATAAAAAACAACAATGCTGCCAAAATCATACTCCCCTATGTAAAATACTTATTATTGAACCTGAACACTTGTGCTTTTTTGCAGGTAGTCTTTAGGGTGAGATGTGTCCCCAGAATGAGTATTTTGGGTGTTTGACCCAGCAAAAGGGATATCAGTGAGGGGGTGTGAATTCGGCAATGCTGCCAAAATCATACTCCCCTATGTAAAATGCTTATTATTGAAACTACACACTTGTGCTTTTTTGCAGGTAGTCTACAGGATGAGATGTGTCCCCAGAATGAGTATTTTGGGTCTCTGACCCAGCAAGAGGGATATCAGTGAGGGGGGTGTGAATTCGGCAATGCTGCCAAAATCATACTCCCCTATGTAAAATACTTATTATTGAACCTGAACACTTGTGCTTTTTTGCAGGTAGTCTTTAGGGTGAGATGTGTCCCCAGAATGAGTATTTTGGGTGTTTGACCCAGCTAAAGTGATCTCAGAGTGGGGGGTGTGAATTCGGCAGGGCTGCCAAAATCATACTCCCCTATGTAAAATGCTTATTATTGAACCTGAACACTTGTGCTTTTTTGCAGGTAGTCTACAGGATGAGATGAGTCTCCAGAAAGAGTGTTTTGGGTCTCTGACCCAGCTAAAGTTGTTAGGGAGGTTCAGACAACAGGACCCAAGAGCAGATCAATTTAGAACAGGATTTATTGTCAAAAAGGTTGAATCAAAACAATAAAAAAACATAAATTAATTGGTAGCCGAGCCACCAAGTAAGAGGGCGAGACAGAGGCAAAATCCCTTGAACAGGCTGGGGTCAAAATCAGTAGCGGACCAACAGTTTGAAGGATGAAGCAAAGGCAATATTCCAGGACGAGAGCAGAGGGTCAAAAACCGGGTGAGCAAGCTGAGTCGAGATAGGGAACAGGAAATAGGCACACACAAAAAAACAACAATATTAAAAAATCAGAAACTGCTTTAACCCCTTGAGCCGCAGGGATCACTGGTGATCCCAAATTTTACATTGTTTACATTGATCGCGTGTTTACAATATCATTTTGTCAAGTAATAAGGTTAACCAATACATTGTTTGAAAGATACGACACTGTACATTCGTCTCGTTATAAGCATTATACAATCAAGATAACTTTGCAACCGGTTTTTGTTATTCTTTATCAACATAAACAATGTGATACAACTATGAAGAGGAGGGGGGGGGGCTTACCTTTTTTGTGTTGTTGAAATGTAATGCTTGGCAGAATAATGATGACATCGATCTTTTTACCATGGGAAGAGTCCAGTATATGATGTCCATGGTAACGATTTGTCCAAAAATATGCAAACTGTTAAAAATATCCATATAACTTCTATTGTTTACATCCTGAAATTTGCTAATCACGAGGGCGTTGTCCCGTTTATTCGACGAACTATCCACATCTAGTGCATTATTCAATGAAACATAACATATCAGTGTTTTTAGTAGAGTGTCTGGAAATGAATGAGATCGGTCCAGAAGATGTCCGATGAAAACTGGCCATGTAATTTTAGAAAGAAGTGAAGGATGTCAGACGCTTTTGGTGACGTATGATCATGCATAATGCAAATATGTGTGGTAAAAAATAAACCAATAGCAATGGAAACTGTTGTGTTGTCACCCAAAGTGAAAGCCTATGCCATAACGAATACGCACATGTGATGATTTGCATAATCTCGCGTTTATAACAGTGTTCCTTTGTGAGCGCAACCATTTGCTTCCCTGGAAATTTACGCACACGTGACAGTCATGACGCACAGAGGTCACCTGCTCGCGCTAGCACAGTAGCACTCGCTCGCTCTGTGTACATTAGCCTGCTGCAATGCGTTCACGGCGGGGACAGAAGTTATTTTCTCCTGCTGCTGCATTGGAGGAATTTCTGCGAAGCAGTGATGAAGAAAGCGTGGAATATTCAGAAGAGAGTGCTGTAACGTTATCCAGCGTCGACTTTGAAGAAGAGGATATGTTTTTGGAAGGACTCGATCAGTTTCAGGTCGGTAAGTGTCTAAACATCTAAACGTTTTGATTTTCTGCACTATTGCGGCTTAGAAGTACATTGAAAAACAGTGAAAATTCGTTGTGATTCAAGCGCTGAATTAGAAGAAACCCTATACAACATTGAACATATTACTCTATGTAATGTTAGCTATAGGCTATTGTTTTGTGTGTAAGTTAGAACGCAAGACGAAGTTTACAAAATCAAACTTTTCAGAGAAGAAAATGTAATTATATGTGTGTAAGGTAATCAGTTGTGCTAGGTGTATTTCTAATCCTTTTTGTGTAATTCAACAGTGACGAAACTTCAGATGATGCGAGGGTACCAGAGGCCTCTGGACAACATGAAAGCGTCCGTGTGTGGCTGCAGCATCTTCAGCTGCATCCAGATGTTCAAGAGGAAAGAACGGAAGAAAGAGACAGCCCAGCACTTTGTGGTAAGCAAATAACGTGAAGCAAGTAAAGTGATGTTTAGTGAGATTAAAAAAATAGCATTTGAGGGCATTATTATTGTCTGATTACAGTCTGTATTAGCTGGTAGTGTAAATGTGCAACCAGAGCAACAATAGTATGGAGGAGAATTGCTGTATGTGAATTATTTTTGAATATAAAGTCTGTAAGCTGGTAGTGTAAATGTGCAATCAGGGCAACAATAGAGTCGGTATGGAGGTGAATTGCTGTAAGCGAATGATCTTTTGAATAAAAAAGTCTGTAAGCTGGTAGTGTAAATGTGCAATCAGGGCAACAATAGAGTGGGTATGGAGGAGAATTGCTGTAAGCGAATGATCTTTTGAATAAAAAAATCTGTAAGCTGGTAGTGTAAATGTGCAATCAGGGCAACAATAGAGTGGGTATGGAGGAGAATTGCTGTATGTGAATTATTTTTGAATATAAAATCTGTAAGCTGGTAGTGTAAATGTGCAATCAGGGCAACAATAGAGTGGGTGTAGAGGTAGATTGCTGTATGTGAATGATTGTTTGAATTTCAGATTTGAAAAGGCAATAATATTTATTTATGTGTAAGATAATCAGTTATGTTAGGTGTATTTCTAATCCTTTTTGTGTAATTCAACAGTGACGAAACTTCAGATGATGCGAGGGTACCAGAGGCCTCTGGACAACATGAAAGCGTCCGTGTGTGGCTGCAACATCTTCAGCTGCATCCAGAAGTTCAAGAGGAAAGAACGGAAGAAAGAGACAGGAGCTGACAGGACATCCCACCAAAAGCAAGGTTTTTGACCCTCCTTCTCATACTTTTTGTGGGTGTCACAGTCCTGTGCACATCACCAACGACAGCAGGGCAGGTAGACGCAAATGTAAGGTGTGCCACTGGAATTCTCCTGTGAAGTGTCACAACTGTGATGTAGCTTTCTGCTACCTCCCTAAAAGGAACTGCTTTATTGATTATCATGCACAGAACAACCTCCTAGTGTGACTTCATATTTAGTCCAAAGAATGATAGCACTTTTGCAATAGGGACTGTGAGAGTATATGTACCGGGTGGACGAGTGGGCTTGACAAACCGTCCTTACCTGTGGTAAAACTCTCCTCTATGTGTGCTGGACACTTCTAGTGTGAATGACAACCTCCTGTGACTTTTTAGTCCAGTGCAGGATGGCTAATTTGCAATAGGGATTGTGAGAGTATATGTACCGGGTGAACGAACTACCAGCTAATTGACAAACCATCAACAGAACAGCACTGCCAAACTGTGCAATACTTTGTAAATAGTACATTTGTTTATTTATTTATTCAAAAAAAAGTTGGGGGGGCTTTTGAGAAATGTGTATCACTGTTGATTGCACTGAACTAAGAAACAGTTGTTTGTAACTATATACAGATGTATAAATAAAAAAAGTTTGATTTGCTAAATAATGTGTCATTCTTAACCATTAAATGGATGGTAGTGAACAAAGACTTTGTTATATATACTTTTTATAAGCAAGTTGCCAAATGTCACTTTAGGGTCCTTTTGGAGCCTTTTCAAAAAAATGCACATAACTGCATTTTTATAAACATTTAGGATGTAAACAATACACCAGAGAAAGTATTTAAGTTGTGCTTTGTCGTATTGTAATAAGAAAATATATTTAAATGATCAAAAAAACTTGTTATAGCTCATGGTAAAAGTTGGTTACCAAGTGTCCCTTTGGAGTCTCCAAGTGGCCTTTTTGGGTAGGTGCCTAGACATGCGCTGAAATAAATGCTTGTAAAAAAATCATTTTTGCTTGTATAAACTTCAAATTTGAAACATACATTGTTAAGACCTATGGCTTTAGTTTGCTTGTGTTTCCAGGCCCCTATATTTTTGCCTTAAGCATTTTTCTTTTTCATAAATATTTATTATACAAAAACAAATTCTCGTCCATTGTTTTTGAGCTTATTTATCTCTCTATTAGTATTTGCTCAGAGCAATTTTAAGTCTTTCATAGTAAACTGTCAAGTGTCAGCTTTTAAATGATACCTTGGTTTTGTGTGTAGCCAGAAGGACTAGTTAGCAACAACCATTTTATTATGGGTATGTCATTTTGCACTCGATTGCCAAAACGTGGGGCGAGTAGTAAGGGAAAGGTTTAGAAGCAACCAAAAAAGAAGACTTTCAGGCAAGGGGAAAGTGGTGATATGTACAAAAACCAAGACACACTGACAGAGAAACAAAGAAAGAGAGAAGCATAAGTAGTTTATATCACCTGGCAAATAAATTATATAGTTAAGAAACGTACAATGAAGTTTTCACGAAAAAAAAAGAAGAAAATTACCACCTTAAACCTTACATTAAGGTTGACAAACTGGGCAGATGTATGTTTTGTGTTTCCTTGTACGTTGAACACATTTGCAGTGAAACCAACGTGGGCACATATCACAGCCAGGGCCGTCGCTAGTGGGGTGAAAGGTGGTGACAATTATAGGGGCCCCCGCTGCCCAGGGGGCCCCACAAAATCCAGCAGTTATACTATTTAGGCCCCTGTTGTATGAATAATTCTAATATTTATATTAGTTGTATGCCTGAGATTTAAATGAAAACCACAAAAACGTGCAATTTGGGTAAATATTTTTCCAAATATCTGCTTCTCTTACCTCCATAAAAATGGTTTAGTCCGACCTAAAGTATTTATTAATTATTCAGTCAGAGTCAGTGACAAACATCAGATGGACCCAATAAAATTGTAAGTCCCGCCCCAGCTCGTGAACAGAACCAATCAGAGTTGAGGCGGCAGCCTGAAGTTAACGATTAACTTGGTGGAAGAGCAGGAGACTAACTGACTGAAAAATGTCGGGGAAAAGAAAACATAAATCAGGTACCAGAAATGCCAGGAAAAGACGGAGAGGGAGGCAAGGAGAGTGGTTGTATCCCAGTCGATCAAGACGTTCTTAAAGACCGGTTATTATTATTTCGCTGGGAATTAGAAAACTTCCGTCTACAGTCTGCCGTGTACAGTCATTTTTTATTATCGGTGCGCGCCACAATCGACCGAATGATTACGTGGTCTAAATTCCTGTCTTTTTACACTATTGTAAATAGAGTTTAAAAAAAAATTACACGAGTCACGACGCATTGCATTATGCATCTGATCTGCCGGCTGATGATATTTAAAACATCGAGAAAACACGAATACAACACACTGCACTTGGATGAATAAATGTAGGCCCTATTCGCTTTATTTAATAATATTACCAGTTCCATATTCTCTTTATTAAAAAATAAGGCAATAAATGGTTTTATTTTTTTAATTAGACTGCATTCTTGTCAATTTCTAAATGTTTACTTTTTGATTTATGAATTATAACAGACTGATGGGGGAAAAAAATATTACTTTTTAATAATTGGTTTTTATTATTGTTGAACAATTTCTTGCTTTTTGTTAGTTTTTATTAGTTGTAATTTTTATATAAACATTTAACTTTTAAAATAAAGGTTTTACAACAACATCACCATCTTCTGTTATATGTGGGCCTCCATGTTCATCTATTGTACAGTATATGATATTGGTGGAGGGTGGTGGGGGCCCACATCAATATTTTTTCAGGGGGCCCCGTATCCTCTAGCTACGGCCCTGATCACAGCCAATCTAAACATGTTGACAAACACATTTTGAAGTCAAGCATAGGTATTTCTGTAATCCATATCAAACAATACTTACATGGACATTATTATAATACCTTCAGTTCATATGATAAATCCAATAAAGGTTTGATAAAAGACAATATTCTTTATTGGAATGCTTACCCAGTTAGTCACTTTTTTGCCACTGTTTTTGTCCCCACATAGATGGCACAGGTCCTTCAGGTTATCTAGTTGAGGCAGAATAAACAATGTTATCATAAAACAAGTTCTTATAATATCACAAGTTTTTACACGCTAAGGAATAATCACATTTTACCAACACTGTTTAATGGTTAAGGAACAAAAGAATGAATGAAAATTGGAACTTTGAAACTTACCAGTGTGCTGCAAGACACAAGCAGCAATTTTTCTTCTCAGGGCAGCCACACTTTCCTCAGATGTAGAAAAGTGAAGCGACTCATTATTTAAGAAACATTCTGCAAACTAAAAAAGAAAAGTGATTATTAAGAATGATATGTAATCTATTTTTTTTCTCTATGTTTAAGTCTGCAAGACTGTCCTTCTGTCCTAAAATATAAGTGAGGGATTTCCAAAGAATGATGTCAATACTAGAATGATAACTACAACTTTACAACCTTAACTTCTATTGTCAACAGTAACACTCTTCCTAATATATCCTTGTGTTGTATTTCAATGGAAGTCACCATTAATTTCAATATTTATCATTGATATCCATTTACCATCCAGAATAAACATCTCCATTGTATTTACCTCTGGTGTAACACTGAGGAAAGAAAGTCATATATGGCATAATGATCCATTTAACTTACTTTCAAGACAAAGGGTCCACAGGAACTGCCATCCTGTTGGCATGAATGCGGTAATGTCTCACACACCCATTTGGGCACGTTGTAGCCCTTCTGTATCATAAAGGACCTGTAATATTTATGATTATGGGGTAAAAACAAAATAAGAATTTAATTGAACATAGGTACATTGACAACGTGACAATAAATCTCTTGAATTTGGAATTTATTAAATTAAATAGAATATCAAGAAACACCTTTAGAATTTCAGAAGATCTTGTTTTAAATGTTGATTTACCTTGTCACATTCTGACACCTTTGTACTTTTGATGTGGTCTCTCCTAGAGGATCAAATAACAGAGCCCTCTTCTCTTGTGGAATCATAATCTTAATAATAAAGATATTGCAAATGATTACAACAAAACCTTAAACGCTAAAAAAAATTGCACCCAACCACTTAAAAGATAATTAAGACTGCTTTTAAAACATATAAACAGTACCGTCAGAGTCCAGTGCTGATTTTCGTTAATGATCCCAATGATATATTTAAATTGTTTTGGATCCATCTGAAATTTCAGTTAAAATAAAATCAACATTTAATGCACAAGTATTTTGAGGTGTAGTGAGCAACAAACAAAAAAGCATCCCATGACCCAAGTTTGATTGCTGTTAAAAGAAATGACACTTTCTCCAATGTGTAATGGCCCAGCCAGACACCCAAGAAGACATTACCAAACCGACTATTTAGAATCAGAAATTAATATATAAGTAATATTGAAATAATAATAATTAACTAGAATGTACATTTCCAGAAGAAAATGTGAAGTGGTGCTTGCAGTGGCAAAACTCGCCGCTCGGTTGCTAGAGTGTGGTACATTATTGCATACGAGCCAACAACCATGTCTGTACGATGTTCTAGTGCTGAGATATAGCTTATTCATGTGTTTGTATGGTTACTAGGGTTCCCTATATGGTTGCTATGGTGTGCTTATAGAGTTTATGAGATGATATTTAAAGACTAGTTGACAGTCTGAGTCAAAAAAGGCAAACTCCATGTTTCCTCTATTTTCTGGAGCTGAGATATGGCTTGAATATGTTGTTTTATGGTTGCTAGGCTGCCCTAACTGGTTTCTAGGGCGGAATATGAAGTTATTATGTCACTACTTATTGGCTGCTTGATAGGCCGAGTCAAAAGAGCCCAACCCCAAGTCTCTATGACCTTCTGGTGAAAAGATATGACATAACAAATTTTGTGCCAATGTTAAGTCTATGGGACTTTTTTCGGCCGATTTATCGCCCGCCGGACGAACATCGTACAACCGATCGCTTAGAAAAGACATAGCACACCTCTCCTCAATGAACCGGTCGATTTGACACCTCACTCATGGGTCTACGACAAAAGGTGCGGGAGGAGTAGCGTGCCGAAGTTTTGTCTAGGTGAATAGTAATCACAATACTAGAATGTACATTTCCAGAAGAAAATGTGAAGTGGTGCTTGCAGTGGCAAAACTCGCCGCTCGGTTGCTAGTGTGCGGTTAGCTAGTTTTTAGCAAGATGCTAGCATGATTAGCATGTTGCTAGCATCATGCTAGCATGATTAGCATGTTGTTAACATTATGCTGGCATTATTAGCATGTTGCTAGCATGATTAGCATGTTGCTAGCATGTTGCTAGCATGATTAGCATGTTGCTAGCATCATGCTAGCATGATTAGCATGTTGTTAGCATTATGCTAGCATTATTAGCATGTTGCTAGCATGATTAGCATGTTGCTAGCATGATGCTAGCATGATGCTAGCATGATTAACATGATGCTAGCATGATTAGCATGTTGCTAGCATGATGCTAGCATGATTAGCATGTTGCTAGCATCATGCTAGCATGATTAGCATGTTGTTAGCATGATGCTAGCATGATTAGCATGTTGTTAGCATCATGCTAGCATCATGCTAGCATTATTAGCATGTTGCTAGCATCATGCTACCAACATGCTAGCATGATTAGCATGTTGTTAGCATCATGCTACCAACATGCTAGCATGATTAACATGTTGCTAGCATGATGCTAGCAAAAATAAGCATGTTGCAAACATGTTTTAGCTAGATGCTAGCATGATTAGCATATTGCTAGCATCATGCTAGCATGTTTAGCATGTTGCTAGCATGATGCTAGCATGGTTGCTAAGGTGTTACTAGGTGGTTGCTAGGGTATTATGGGTGGTTGCTAGGGCGTTGCTAGGCGGTTGCTAGGGTGTTCTGGGTGGTTGCTATGGTGTTGCTAGGCAGTTGCTAGGGTATTCTGGGTGGTTGCTAGGGTGTTTTAGGTGGTTGCTATGGCGTTGCTAGGCGGTTGCTAGGGTGATCTGGTTGGTTGCTAGGGTATTTTGGATGGTTGCTATGGTGTTCTGGGTGGTTGCTAGGCGGTTGCTAGGGTGTTCTAGGTGGTTGCTAGGGTGTCGCTAGTCGGTTGCTATAGTATTCTGGGTGGTTGCTAGGCGGTTGCTAGGGCGTTGCTAGGCGGTTGCTAAGGTAATCTGGGTGGTTGCTAGGGCGTTGCTAGGCGGTTGCTAGGGTGTCCTGGGTGGTTGCTAGGCGGTTGCTAGGGTGTTCTGGGTGGTTGCTAGGGCATTGCTAGGCAGTTGCTAGGGTGTTGCTAGGGTAATCTGGGTGGTTGCTATGGTGTTACTAGGTGGTTGGTAGTTGTCACAGATGGTTACTGTTGAGTTTGTAGCATTTTATTGGCATGATTTAGCACTTAGCTAATCAATATTAGCATGTAGCTATTCACTGCTAGCATGTGTAGGATGTAGCAAGTCCTGTTTGCTAGCATGAGTCAAAAGAGCCAACCCCCATCTCTATACGATGTTCTGATACAGAGATATAGGTCTTGCAAAACGGTTGCTAGGGTACTCTGTTTGGTTGCTAGGGAGTGGCTTGGCAGCTGCCAATCATGAAGCTCCAAAGTCAATGTGAATGTATAAACCAACCCCCATCTCTATACGATGTTTTGATGCAGAGATATAGGTCTTGCAAAATGGTTGCTAGGGTACTCTGTTTGGTTGCTAGGGAGTGGCTTGGCAGCTGCCAATCATGAAACTCCAAAGGCTGCTTGTCAGTATAAAAGATATAAACCAACTCCCATGCCTCTGTGACATTCAGAATGGAAGATATCCCTGTTTGAATTTTGGTTGCTAAGGTGCTTGACAATGGTTGCTAGGGAGGGGTTAAGATGTGTTGAGGTGATTCATGATTGGCTGTTTACTGCCCCGAGTCAAACGAGCCCACCCTCACGTTTCTATGACTCTTATATCCTGAGATATCCCTTTGATCTGTTTCAATGGAAGTCTATGGAACTTGTTGCTAAGGAGCTCTAAATGGTTGCTAGGGCGTGGCTAGATAGCTTCACAATGATCCTGAGAGACTGATTGGCCGTCTGAGTAAAATGAGCCCGCCCCTTTGTCTCTACGACACTGTGATCCAGAGTTATGTTCAATATAAAAGCGGTTTCTATGGTGTAGGACGGCCCATTTCATGGGCCGTCCTACACCATAGTAAGTCAATGGGGCAACTTTGGGCAGCTCCTGCCCCACAGGGGTGCAACTTTTACCCCATTGTGTGGTATATTCTTACAGAGCCTGTCAGCCTCTTCAAATGTGGTAAATTACACGTTTCTGCGACATCCTCGTTCCGAGCTACGACTCGTCAAAGTTTGACGCAATGTTAAGTCTATGGGATTTTTCGGCCGGTTTTTCGCCCCTGGGGCGAACATCGTACCCCCGATCCCTTAGGAAAGTCATAGCACACCATTCCCGAACAGGCCGCACGTTTTGACACCTCATTCATGGGTCTGTGACAAAAACTGCGGGAGGAGTAGCGCGTCAAAATTTGTCCAGAATAATAAGAATAATAATAATAACTAGAATGTACATTTCCAGAAGAAAATGTGAAGTGGTGCTTGCAGTGGCAAAACTCGCCGCTCGGTTACTAGGGTGTTCTGGGTGGTTGCTAGGGTGTTCTGGATGGTTGCTAGGGAGTTGCTAGGTGGTTGCTAGGGTGTTCTGAGTGGTTGCTAGGACGTTGCTAGGCGGTTGCTAGGATATTCTGGGTGGTTGCTAGGGCGTTGCTAGGCGGTTGCTAGGGTATTCTGTGTGGTTGCTAGGGCATTGTTAGGCGGTTGCTATGGTGTTCTGGGTGGTTGCTAGGCGGTTGCTAGGGTATTCTTGGTGGTTGCTATGGTGTTGCTAGGCGGTTGCTAGGGTTTTCTGGGTGGTTGCTAGGGCGTTGCTAGGCAGTTGCTAGGGTATCCTGGGTGGTTGCTAGGCGGTTGCTAGGGTATTCTGGGTGGTTGCTAGGGTGTTGCTAGGTGGTTGCTAAGGTATTCTGGATGGTTGCTAGGGTGTTGCTAGGCGGTTGCTAGGGTGTTCTGGGTGGTTGCTAGGGTATTCTGGGTGGTTGCTAAGCAGTTTCTAGGGTGTTCTGGGTGGTTGCTAGGGCGTTGCTAGGCAGTTGCTAGGGTATCCTGGGTGGTTGCTAGGGTAATCTGGGTGGTTGCTAGGCAGTTGCTAGTGTATCCTGGGTGGTTGCTAGGCGGTTGCTAGGCGGTTGCTAGGGTGTTCTGGGTGGTTGCTAGGGCGTTGCTAGGCAGTTGCTAGGGTGTTCTGGGTGGTTGCTAGGGCATTGCTAGGCAGTTGCTAGGGTATCCTGGGTGGTTACTAGGTGGTTGCTAGGGTGTTCTGGGTGGTTGCTAGGGCGTTGCTAGGCAGTTGCTAGGGTGTTCTGGGTGGTTGCTAGGGTGTTGCTAGGGTAATCTGGGTGGTTGCTATGGTGTTACTAGGTGGTTGGTAGTTGTCAAAGATGGTTACTATTGAGTTTGTAGCATTTTATTGGCATGATTTAGCACTTAGCTAATCAATATTAGCATGTAGCTATTCACTGCTAGCATGTGTAGCATGTAGCAAGTCCTGTTTGCTAGCGTGAGTCAAAAGAGCCAACCCCCATCTCTATACGATGTTCTGATGCAGAGATATTGGTCTTGCAAAACGGTTGCTAGGGTACTATGTTTGGTTGCTAGGGAGTGGCTTGGCAGCTGCCAATCATGAAACTCCAAAGGCTTCTTGTCAGTAAGAATGATATAAACCAACTCCCACGCCTTTGTGACATTCAGAATGGAAGATATCCCTGTCTGGATTTTGGTTGCTAAGGTGCTTGACATAGGTTGCTAGGGAGGGGTTAGGATGTGTTGAGGTGATTCAGGATTGGCTGTTTGCTGCCCCGAGTCAAATTCATGTTTCTATGACTCTTATATCCTGAGATATCGCTTTGATCTGTTTCAATGGAAGTCTATGGGAGTTGTTGCTAAGGTGCTCTAAATGGTTGCTAGGGCGTGGCTTAATAGCTTCACAATTATCCTGAGAGACTGATTGGTCGTCTGAGTAAAATGAGCCCGCCCTCTTGTCTCTATGACACTGTGACCCAGAGCTATGTTCAATACAAAATCCCTATGCAATTTACCATAGTAGGAAAAACGCATGCATTTCATGGGCCGTCCTACACCATTGTAAGTCAAT